AAGCCTTACCGTAAAGGCCCTTCCTGGGTACAAGGGCTTCCTTCATTGGCAGGCAGTTAATTCCCCTTATCGCAGCCTCAATAGAACCATTCACAGTTGACCAGAGCCCGGTACTGTCTCATAACATGTCTAATTTCATCTCCGTCTAGACCCCGAATAAATGGTTTTACATTTGTCGAGCAAGGGGCTCAAGATTGGACACATATTTACATTCGGCTTTTAGCCTCAGCTTGTCTGATATGTGTGGCCGTACACTAGTGTTCAGTCACATTGGGTGTACTTGTGTATGTATAGGGCCTACTACACTGTTTAATACATTTAATTTACGGCGCGGTTTGCTCTTGACAAAACCATTGCAACAAGTTTGGTTGGGTTGGCGGTTCACAGTGGTTTTGATATTAATTCAATGAGCTTAAAATCCCTTGCATTACAAAGTTTTTTTTACATTTCGCAAGTTAAATATACGTGTGGCACTTTTAAGGTTTATGGCTTTGTAATTATTGTTGAGTATTTGTAATCGCATGTCAGTGCAATAAATACTATCGGTCTATATTATTCGTGCTCCAAATTGTTATATTTATTTTGTCACTCTCCTTTACATTTAGAGACGAGAATGTTCATACAGAGTTAAAAAAGCACAATACTACTTACCCCTTTTAAATTTTAATTACAAGTTTTCATCTTTGTAAAATTGCGACTGAGTTTTACAAAAAATGAGCCGCCAAAAGACTGTCCCCAGACAACTACCCCCCAAGTAGGTTCCTACATCATGTTGACGTCAAAGATCGTGGGGCAGTCACGTACACTCAAGTTTCGTTGTCAAACTGTTCTAAAACTAACCTAAACCTAACCAACCAAAACTTGCTGTAACATTTTGAAATTCTGTTTGATATTCCCCACATGCTTTTTATATTTTCAAACTGAATTACTCGAATGAAAATTAAATTACATAGCATCACATTTTTTTATGGGGGGGGGGGTATCCCGCAAAAAGACAAAGAGTCGTGGTACAAATCAATGATATATGACTATTTCCTGGATCAATTTAGGTCCATAAATATCGATGTATTCTCAGTATTTTCGTAAAAATTTTCGAAAATGTCTTGCAACTTATTAAAAAATAATATGCGTATTTACTAATTTTATCTCTTCTAAACTTAAATAAATCATCAAAAATAACATGTTACACTAGAAGCACTTACTAAACTAACCACCGTTTAGAAATTGCTCTCCTTTCCTAAGTTAATGACGATGCTTATATTTTTTTATTCTTGGTTATTGGTTTCAGACCAAACATACAATTTGTTACGACTCAGCACTCCTCTGAAATATAACTCGACTGCGTTCCTTTCAAAAGATAAGGGTTGTCGTGATATGTACCGAGTCTTGTGACGATGGCACTTTCTTTACACTTGTTGTTGGTTTTGTTATCAATGATGAGTGTGGGCAGTGGCAGGAAAGGGTGAAGGTGACTGTAGTGGCTACAGTGTACAGTGAGTGGCGCCTGCCGGTCGTCTCGCCTTGTACTGGTGTGGCAGTGGCAGGGAAGGTGAAGGTGACTGTAGTAGGGCTACATTGTACAGTGAGTGGCGCCTGCCGGTCGTCTCGCCTAGTGCTGGTGTGGCAGTGGCAGGGAAGGTGAAGGTGACTGTAGTGGCTACAGTGTACAGTGAGTGGCGCCTGCCGGTCGTCTCGCCTAGTGCTGGTGTGGCAGTGGCAGGGAAGGTGAAGGTGACTGTAGTGGCTACAGTGTACAGTGAGTGGCGCCTGGCCGGTCGTCTCGCCTAGTGCTGGTGTGGCAGTGGCAGGGAAGGTGAAGGTGACTGTAGTGGCTACAGTGTACAGTGAGTGGCGCCTGCCGGTCGTCTCGCCTAGTGCTGGTGTGGCAGTGGCAGGGAAGGTGAAGGTGACTGTAGTGGCTTACAGTGTACAGTGAGTGGCGCCTGCCGGTCGTCTCGCCTAGTGCTGGTGTGGCAGTGGCAGGGAAGGTGAAGGTGACTGTAGTGGCTACAGTGTACAGTGAGTGGCGCCTGCCGGTCGTCTCGCCTAGTGCTGGTGTGGCAGTGGCAGGGAAGGGTGAAGGTGACTGTAGTGGCTACAGTGTACAGTGAGTGGCGCCTGCCGGTCGTCTCGCCTAGTGCTGGTGTGGCAGTGGCAGGGAAGGTGAAGGTGACTGTAGTGGCTACAGTGTACAGTGAGTGGCGCCCTGCCGGTCGTCTCGCCTAGTGCTGGTGTGGCAGTGGCAGGGAAGGTGAAGGTTGACTGTAGTGGCTACAGTGTACAGTGAGTGGCGCCTGCCGGTCGTCTCGCCTAGAGCTGGTGTGGCAGTGGCAGGGGAAGGTGAAGGTGACTGTAGTGGCTACAGTGTACAGTGAGTGGCGCCTGCCGGTCGTCTCGCCTAGTACTTGGTGTGGCAGTGGCAGGGAAGGTGAAGGTGACTGTAGTGGCTACAGTGTACAGTGAGTGGCGCCTGCCGGTCGTCTCGCCTTGTGCTGGTGCTGGCTACACCGTCAGTGGAGGCCGAGGCAAGGCCTGTGTCTAGTCTACACACTCTTCTATATCAATTATTTTCTAAACTCCCTCTTTAACTTTTTTTTCAACGACACGCTAAAATAGTTGGTAACATAACATCAAAATTTAAATTACTGTCCAAACCTGCCTGTTAACAATTTTGTCAAAGATACAAACATTTACACATACTTACATCTAAAAGGGGCATAAATTCACTGTATTGATGAAAAAAATACTTTCTGCGGGCAGATTATATGGCAAATTTCGTTTTTATATTTTTTCAAAGATGATACATTGTTGCAACACATACTGTTAATACTGTTCAATGAAATGGAGACCATACATAGTAGGTATTTTAAGCCAAGTATGAATGGAGATGAGTGTAGGATGAGTGGCGCGATCTTGTAGTCTTGTAGTGACTAAGGCCGACATTCCTTAGACACAGCTGTTAATTAATAGCCCATACAGCTAATGGCAACTAAGGGACCTACAGTTTATAGTGGAATTCATAGTTTGGAATGTACAAACTTTACGTTATTTACACTGAATAGGGACAATAAATTTCCTGTATTGCTAAAAAAATTCTTTCTGCGGACAGATATGGCAAACTTCGGTAGGCCTAATATATTTTTTACAATATGATACATTGTTGTAAAAAATAGTTTAGGAATTGTTTTCGTGGAAAGTAATGTTAACGCTCATAAGCTAATGTGAATTTTGTATTCTACTTTTACGTGTTTTGACCCGATTCAAAATTGGTAAATATAACGATTTTCCCTTATCGCGAATTTCCCTATAAGGAAGAAGGTATTACCTTAGGCGGCACGGAAATACCTAGAAGCTTTTCTCCCAGTTCAAAGTAGTGAATTGCACGGTTTAACTCAATTGCATCTCAAGTACGGTTTGTTCTACAATTTAAGCTGAGTTCGATGATGGCTCATTGAATCTGTGATTAAACTGTCTACAAATACTACATATAACGTTGACATGATCTTACCGTTACAGTTTTAGCTATGACTATCTTAAGTCTACTATTTTCTCCATGAAGTTACGAAACCTTTACTCTTTACACTGTCACATTGGATTTCAAGCTGAAGTTATTCCTGGGTGCGAGAAATTTGAAGATATCAGACTTTACCTATGCTGTGACTACTTGTTAGATATTCGAAGTACTGTATGTGCTGGTAGGTGTAGGTGTTGACGATGTTTTGGCTGGCTGGTATTGTCTGTAGGCGTACATTAGCAGCCCGGACTGGTGGCGCCATCTAGCTCTGACAAACAATTATACGGGCGCCTACCACTATCACAGTCGCCACTCTCCATCCCTACACACCAACACCAGTATTCTAGAAACTTATTTTTATCTAGACATTTTAACACGTCACTTGTCGTGAGTGATCGATCGATTGTCCATTCTCGACTTGAAGATTTTACGGACGCCTTACGTTTTTACTTGACTTTTAGATTGCCAATTTCAATTTACGAGGCTACTTCAATTCATTTTTTAAATATTTGTTGCGGATATTTAGTTTTTTTGTTAGATATTACTGGCGTTTTCGATGTAAAAGAAACACTGGCTAGGATATATCTCAGCAAATATATGTGTAATCCGTATAGGTATTGACTATGCTATAGTGACAATTTAGTCTTAAGCCGCGTTTACACCAAAGTCTTCCACTGAGTTTTCCACTAGTTTGCGGTAACAAGTTGCTTTTCTACAAAATACCAGGACTAAAAACATACAACAGCGACTTTTTCTGTCCTCCACTAGTTGAGAACCAAGTTTTCCACTAAATTTTGGTTTCCCACGGAGAGTTGGTAAAGAACAAAGAAAGTTTACAACAAAAAGTGGAAGACTAGTTGCTACACGCTTTGCGCAAGCAACTTGTGGAAAACTAGTGGAGATCTGTTCCCCCCGCACCCCTCTACGCACTCCGGGTGTGACGTCGGGCGATAGTCAATCTTTGGCAACAAGTTTTCCTTTGAGAGAAACTTTTGGTTTTATACAAAAATCTTCCACTAGTTCCTCAAATTTGTTCAGAGCAGCATTTAGTTGTAAACTTTAAGTTGTAAAGGAACTTTTGGTTGTCAACTTTGGTGTAAACGCGGCTTTAGGACGACTTTATAACTTTTACACTAGTTTTGAATATGAAGTTGGTAAACAATTATGGCTACCAAACTGTCCCGTAGCTCGAGAGAGCGCATCAGCGATCAGCGCCCGGTCGGGCTAGAGACATTGTTTTGCCTCATTCAATTATGATTGGCATATTCAAATCACTCCGCGTCCCCTCGCGAGTTGTTTGAACGTCAACTGCTTACAAAAGCATTGCCAATGACTACCTAACAAAATACATTTCCCTTGATTCTAGCCGCATAAAATATAATGATTTCAAATAAATACCGTACGATAATGTCTACTATTCTGAATCAATGCCCAGAAGATCAACACGATAGTACATTGTAGTTGATGGTTTTTATTTTCACTGCTGATGCATGTTATCAACAAGAAGTGTTGTCTGCTGTTGTATTATATATCTGTTGTCTGCTGTTGTATTATATCTCTGTTGTCTGCTGTTACAGAGTCGCCACCGCCGCCGTACCAGCGGTTCGCGCGTGAGAGGCTCAAACCTGAGGGTAAGTCTATATGTTTAGTCAAACCCCATAATACCGTACTTTTACTGCTGCTCCTAATATTTTAAAGAATTGTCTAAGCTAGAGGGAAATTCATACATTAGCTCCCTCCAGCTGTAGGCCCTACATTGGTATGTACGTAGAACGAATTAAGGTACGTACATACCACTGTGTGTGTATTAAATTAAATTCAACTGAATATATTGCTTAGGCATAAAACTGCGAAATTAATGGCTTAATATTCCTTCCCATTAAATACGGAGAAACACACAAATTATAGGGTGATAACCAAAACGATTCTAAAATTGTATTTTAGCGATTAACCATTTAACATCTAAGGTGTTTATCAATTTATCTTAAACGTGTTTACCATTTGGTTACTGAGGCCTATCTGTGTTGGTTCTGAAATGAGCTATAAACTATTTAACATGAAATGTGTACAGTCTGGTATTTTAATTATCGAAACTATTTTATTAGAGCTAACTTGAACTCAATTTTGGGCAATATTTCCTATTTTGTTGCTGAGGAATCGTTAACAATTCAAAGGCAAGATTAAAAACAAAAAGCAACATTATTTGATTGATAGAATACATTTTGAACTTGTCAACCTCGTTGGTTCCAAAATAAGTTTATAGTCAAGGTAAACTCATCTAGGAGATATTTCGGACATGTTCCATTGCGATTAGTAAAAAGCAATGTGAAATCTGACCCCGACCTCAGACGAGAAGGTGTTTAACATCCTTACACAAGTCACATAGTACAATGCTCGTATTCCGCTATTATTTGCTCTCAATGCTGGTTTATTGGGCAAGTTCAGACTAGGCTAGTGGTCGACTAGTGTGGGGTAGCCCTACAACCCCCCCCCCTCGACAGGTGTCTAGGCAGGTGGCGCCTACCCGCCTATGTGGCGCCGGGCACCAGGGCAGCTGCCCACTTGAAACCGAAAGTGCAACGAGGGTCGTGCCGTGCGGGGATTAACGATAATACCGACGCAACTTGGACCGCGTTTTCATTCATTTGTTCTGAAACATTTCCAGTTGGTTTACCTGTATCAATTTCTTCCACTTAAATCTTTTCAAGGCTTTTATTTTCCATTTTTCGCTGTTTGTTAGATCTAGTAGAAATATATTTCGTTGTGAGATTTACATAATACTACCAGACAGTATTAATAAAATAATTTTTTACCTTACAATATGCTTGTTTGATGTTGGTAGGCAAATAATATATAATGCAAACATGATCACGAGTTCGTTGTTGATCTGTATTAAGACATTTTCAATATAGATTGATCGTCTGTATGGAAGAGGGTGGTGAAGAAGAAATTGCTTAACAAAACGTGGCAAAACTGGGAATGATGATTATAAACAGGTTAAACAATTTTAATTACAGTTATGCAATAGGTACAAACAAAGCACATTTCTTGAATTTGAAATTATCTCTTTAAGTTTCAACATGTTTGTTTTATTTAGACTTAGTTTAAATGTGGTTCAGTATAAAAACTAATCTTTCGACAATCTTTATAGAAGAGAAAAAAGTTAAGGCTATTTTTACGAAATTTGTATGCAGACCCTTCAATTTAGCATTTGAAACTACGTTTTCCAGCCTAAAACCATACTTTAAAGTATTCAGAGTGTTTATGCTCATTATTTAATAACAATTTTGTACTTTTTACGTTTATAGTACAATTCAATATATTTATAAGAGTAGATTTATCATTGGAATTTATTAGTTTTAAATAAAAATTACATTTTCAGTAAGTTAAAATACTGCGCGATGTGCTTTAGTAGGGCTATGGCATTTTCCGTCTCGCAAACCCTTAAATTTAACCTTGGTACTACTGTATAAGGTCTATTCACACATGTCAGTTCAGTCTCAGTTGGAACCGCAATTTCTTTTGTCCGTCAGTTAGTTTCAGTCAGTCTTTAAGTCACTGTATTTACAATAAAGTTAGAGTCAAGAACTGTTAATTAAAACACAGTATCTATAAAATTTTCATCGCCCATCTTGATGATTGTTACAAACAGTACTAAAAATATAAACACAATAACTTAAAAACAAAACGACTAATTTCTAACCTCAAACACGACCGTTAGGCGTCCGACCAATCCAAAAGTATTGATAGGAAGAAAACTAATTACGTGTCCATAATGTTATTACGAGAGTAGATTTATCATTGAAATGAATGGGTTTAGAACAGAAATTGCTTTTTCTGTAAGCCTAGCACAGAACTGTAGCGGCTTGAACGACCTCCCAATGCTCGGTCCCCTGATACTAGTACAGTACAATGCGATACATCAAAAGTAAATAATTAGTTTTATGTCAACCAGAGTTTACAATTAAGTTCCCAAGGGAGATCCCAGTAGCTAATTAATTATCTACATGTTATACTAAAAGATGAATAATACAATTTTTTGTTTTTCTTTTTCATTAAATACGCGTCAATTAATTACGAACTGAACATCTGGTGCGTTTTAGAGAAAACAATGTCGAATCTTATTTGCGATTAATTCCCAATAACAGCGAACCTTGTAGGCAACATTGCATATCAGCTGATCGGTAGAGAAAAAGAAGCATGGCAGCCGATTGATGAACTTGTCCCTGTTTTAATAATATAATTCATTGGCTATTTTTCGATAAAACTTCTGTGGCCAGTATATTCTACCTTTATAGCCAATAAAACTATAATTTTGTTCTTTTCCTTTTCCCCAAAGTAAAAACCAAACTCAACTAATACGCGTTGAAAGATACTAATTACAGTAATCGCCTTGTTTACACGGTTTGCTGACAGTATTTGGATCTATCAGAATTAGACCACTCGCAGTGTCAGCAAATATACTTCTGATATACTACACGTCAAAATCTGGCAATAATATCCTATATATTAACATGTTTGTGAAATTGCAATGTATAATTTGCCAATTGATCGGTTTTACCTAGTGTCAAAGAAGTGCGATACCGACTGATTATTCTACCAAGTAGTTTTTAAAATCTGTCCTTAAGGTTAGAGATTTTAAGGGGGCACTCCACTCAACAAACTAGGAATTTCAAAAAATCTATCAAATTTCAGTTATTTACCAAAAAGTGTTCTACAGTTCTCTCCGAACATTTAGATTTATGACATATAGTAAAAATATTTTTTATGCGGTGTTATTTTCCAAAATAAGTAAGTGCTACACTGGCACCGTTTGCCGAAAGTAAACTATCACCCCCCTACGAGGGGGTTAGCCACATTGGTAAAATTTTGCGCTAAAAGTTTTGTTTTAGGTGCACTTTTGGAGTTCCCTCCCAACAGAATTGTGTTTCCGGGGCGATTACCGAAAGTTTGATTTTTTCATATATTCAGGTACGGAAAAAGATATATCTCAAGTTCTGATATAGGCCCTACATAATACAATATTTTTTATTTTATTTTTAAGGGGACATTTTGCTCTACAATGGAAATTTTGTGTAGTATGGAATAATCAAAGTTCAGGGGGGAAAACATTTTGTGATGAATAAACAAAAATATATCATAATAAATTTGAAAAAGAATTTTATAGAAATATTTGTTGTCTGGCAATTCCCATACTAGGACCCTACAATTTGTAGATGTATATGTAGTCTTTAAATTAAAAATAATAATTACTAAATTATCGTATACCTAACTCCAGATATTATCTGTTCCCGTAAACGTATGTTTTTAGAAAAAACCACCCCCCCCAAGGGGGGAGGGAAATCATCATAAAAAATTATCTTTAACTATGCTAAATTCTTAAACATAAGAATACAATTGGTTTAATGCAAACAGAAAATTTTTTGCTCAGCTTAAGACTCATCTAGGTTTTATTGAAGAGCATCATTACTAGGATGAGATGATGTGATAGATGTCAAAGTTATGCAAACATTAGTAAGTACTTCGAGGCGTGCTGTCTATTTGTGAACGTATTTTCCCCATCCATGCCTTTTCTATTCGAGTTGATTAAAACATGATAGACACTCAGTTAGTAAATATAACTGTTTAAATGTTCTCCTTATCTAATGGGTAAACAACTACCTGCTAAATTATTTGTTACTTTTTTAATTCAAACTGCAGAATGGCAGTAACTTGTTGTTTCTTATATTTTAAAAGTGTGTGAAGGTTAGTATTGCCCAAATTGTTATCTTGTGCTTATCTAACTTCTACTAAACAGCAATAACCATTAGAGGTTTGGTATTATTGAGATGGACAGTCAGAAGTTGTTGTCAATTTTCTTCTAACTTCACTGAGGGCAGGTATGCTGTTAAAGAGACTTTGGGTAACTGGTAATGTATATTGTTTGTCCACTGATGCTTGCTGCTTATATCAACAAGTCATGATCACTGTCAATATAATCCTGAATCATCGATTTATAGCGAGAAAATAGTATTAGATCAAAGACTTCCGGAAATAACCAAATTTATTGTCATCGACGGAAGTCAACTATGTAGTTTGTCCTCGATAAACCTGCCAAAATCCTGTGGACGCGAATTTACAATTGATTAATTTAAGTGTCATTTTGCATATGTCTATTGTTATGCAAATTACCTTTTAACTTGGATGCCAGAATCCCCAATGTAAATAGCATTGGCATCAATGAGTATTTAAAAGTACAGTATACGAAATATTAATTATTGCCAAGATATTGATGTAACAAACTAAATCAGGTTTATTTATCTGCGGTCGTTACCAACACAGAAGGTTATCACTTATCATATTACGGTTGTTCATTAAGGTATAAAACGTACATGTAAATAGACAACGTGCCTACTGTTTTATTCGTTTGTTACTACTGTATATCACTTCCAGTTGTATAAGTTTCCCATAGCGTATTCTAGACTCAGTTAAGTTTTTTTCACAATAGACTTAAGTAAATAAACATGCCGTGTTTTAAATTTCATTTAATTAAGGGCTAAAACCTCTTTGTATTTGCACATATTTTACAAACGGCAGTTGTATACATTTTTATACATTGCATTGTATGGTTCCCTAAAGACTTGGGCTGTGT